TATATATATATATATATATATCCATCCTCAGCCTTCTCTATGATTTCATATATCCACTAGGGGACTTCAGAACACCCCCATAGAATGGGAGATGATGTCACTACTAAAGTAATAACATTAAATTACAGCCTTACCTGTGATTTGGCTTTAAAATACCTGTTTATCTTAGGAGGGCCCTGAGCCAGCTACGCCATGCATGCCCAGCATGCTTTTATCACATCAGTATTAGTCATGGAGGTCAGGGGAGATGACAGTGCTCATTATCAGCACAAGATCTTCAAAGCTTGTCTGTCAGATAATGGTACTTGATTCTCACAGTCCAGCTGACTGACTGGCTGCTCAGCTCTGGACCTCTAGAGAGTCTGAGAAGTTGAGAGACCCAGACTGACCATCTCTTGTGAATGAGTAGCTATGGAATTGTGGCTCTAGGAATCTTGCATCATGACTAACCTGAAACGGGGAGATAGACACCTTCCAGCAGACATGGGGAGTTTACAAGTCAACTCTTACAATACTATCATACAAGTGGTCCTAAACTGTACGTGCCCTGTGAAGTCAGTACTGGTCATCACTTGTAAAAGATCAGAATGGTTGCCACAGTTTCTGAGAAGCTGATAGGCTAAGATAATCTGGTTACATTGCCCACAGCACATAGGTTCCAAGCTAGAATTTAAACCTAGATGTGACTCCAAGATCTAGTTTGGAAGGTTGGAAATTAAGATCACAGAGACACACATCCACTCTTCATTCTTGAGATGTCTGCAAGTGAGCCAGTAAGAGAGAAAATGGGTCCAAAGACCACTGGGAGTTTTAGATCAGCCTGTCCAACAATCCGTCTTATGCTAATAAACATGTTCTAGGACCTGTGCTTCCCTGTTACAGCAGCTGGTGGTCACATGCAGCAAGTGGATATCTGACACACGGCTAACACAACTTAACATTCTGAGCATCTGCATGTTTTACTTCTTTTGGTTCATTTGATTTAATTTTAACAAATTTTATGTGTATGGATGTTTAGTATACATGTATGTCTGTGTATCATAGATATTCCCGGTGCATGCAAAGACCATAAGAATGTACTGGATTCCCAGAAGTGCGGTTGCAGATATGTGAGTGCTAGGAATAAAAATTCTGGGCTTCTGGAAGAACAGCCAGTACTCTTTATCACTGAGCCATCTCTCTAGCTTTCTTCATTTGACTTAAATTGTCACTGAATATTTGCAGCCAGGGTGCAGTTAGAGACATTTCACAACAACAATATTCAGGAAAGGAAGTGGTCCCCACAGTTTGGGTTAGAGGGGAATTGAAGAATACAGGCTCCAACATGCTAGAATGGGAACAGGGCTCTCTGCTTCAGGCATGAAAAATTCTACTATTGTTTAGTTCACAGTCGTGGTCCCAAAGTGAATCCCAGTCCCTTTAGTCTACAGATGAGTAAAGTCAATTCTGGTACTGTATTCCTTTGCAACCATTATTTGTAATGTTTTATGAGCATTTATTAATTGTACCTAATAGTGGGTTTATTTATGACTTTGACATACACACACATCATAGTCTTCCCTGGACAGCATGCCTGATCTCTCTTTCACTGCCTCCTTTCTTCTTCCAAAAACCTTTCATCTCTTCTTCTCTGGACCCTCTTTTAACAACTCCAGTAGACACTAAGTTTGTGGATTTTTTTATCAACCTGGACATTATTGCTGCTATCTATGAAATCGAGTCATTTCTTCCCTTGGAATGACTTTCAATGTACCTGAAGTTTCTACCTCTATCTCTGTGAGGAAGACATCCCTAAAAGAGTGAGTGATGTCACTCACAGCAAGACTGCCTACCTTCTCCCCACAAACAAAGCCACACCAGCAGGAAATAGAATCCTTCCATCTCCACCAACCCTGCATATAAACAAATTCATCGAAGGGACTTCATCACCTTGTCACATGTCACTCCACTCTTCCACCACAGAGGTAAAAATGAGATTTTTACTACCATGATTCCTGTTTTCCTTTTTCTCACTTACCATTTGCTGGCTAATTGAAGAAATACATTGAAAATTGTTTGACTATCAGACAAAATCACCAACAGAGCCCTTGGAGTAGAGCCTGCACTTTTCCTCTCCTGTCTGTTCAGGCCAGTCCTTGATATGTCTGTGCTTTTCAGGTCATACATGACTATCCACTCAGCAAGGGCATTCAAACCCTTCATGGGTATTTTCATTTATAATTAATGTAGCTTCCACATGTTTCACTGACCTTTGACAATGTTCCTTGTGAGCCTTAAATAACAGACGATCGATAGTAACCATGACTCCCCCAACCTGAGGACTATAGGTTATATAGCATTTTGGGGCAGGCATACAAGTAACTGGTCTTCATTCTTTGCATTTACATTTGAAAAATGATTATTAGGATGCTTGTAGTAGGGAAAGATCCTTCTATTCATCTTTCAAAAATGGAGTAGATACATGACTTCTTGAAACACTTTACATATCAAAACACCTAAGGCTTTTGGAAGCACAATAACAACGGTCTATCCCCATCTTTAGATACACAATCCTCATATTGTTGAGCTCTGAGGCTTTTGAGAGAATCAAGCATGAGCTTCTGGGACATATGCCCTAAACATCTTTAAAATCTCTCCAGATTAGAATTTAAAGAAATGACAAGTCACACATCTTATCCTCAGCCACAATCCCTGACAATGGCAGCCATTGCCAGGACAATGACACCACTATTACCTGGCTCAGTGCAGTTCTTGCTGCTCCGGAGTCCTGCATCTTCAGAAGTCAGTGTATCATTCATCTGCATCAGCTTCCTCCCCACCATCCATTTTCTATCTTCCCCAATGAGATCCATGAGGTCAAGTTCTGGAAAGTGAAAAAAAAAAAAAAAAAAAAAAAAAAAAACACCAAAATAACTGAATGTAATGTCAGTCTTGTCAGTCTTTACCCATGCTGGCCTGCACCTTAACTGGCTATCGTTTTCCTCTGTCCTTCATAGATGCCTTTAAAGAATCTTGAATCTATTTGAGGGCTTCCTCTGACTCTTGACTCCTACTAGGCTCAACAAAAGTAGTCTTCTGTCCAATGACAGGAAGAAACTCATGTATGAACACTTCATTGCTTGAGAAAGAGGATAATGAAGGATGCATTCTATACTAGTCTCCAGCATTTCCCACAGTGTGAATAAATTAGTATTGTCTACAAGACAAATCTGATGATAAAGTATATTTGGTTGATGGCTATGTCCTCTGTTTTGCAATCCTCTACATTCAAGGATGCTAAGAAATGTTTAACAACCAATAATAGTGAGAGAGGCATCTAGACTTGTAGCCATCGTATGATTTCCATGGCACCAATACTCTCACAAGAACTAAATCCAAACTATGAATATGACACCATTAGACCAATCTGGGAAGAGATGGAAACAATGTACTCTACTAAGTCAGTGTGAGCTGCTTTAGCCATATTTGCTTAAATCATCTCTCACTTAAACCAACTGTAGTTGAAGGTATGCTAAGAATCTGCTTCTTGTGGGTTACCCAAGCTAAGGCATCATTTCACCATTCCCAAAGCAGTGGCCTGCAAGGGACCCAGGATAAGATTCAATAAAACAATAGATGAAGGTAAAAGAAGACCTAGGTCTCTGTGTAGGACGACTATGGAGATGAAAGTGTCAGTAAAAAGAACAGAGAGGAAAGGGCACATGAGGGAAGAGGCTCTCCATCTGGCTTAGGAGATGCTGAGTCTGAAGTTTCTACAGATAAGATTATCAGGAAGAAATCATATACCTTCTTGGTAATTATACCTCAGGCAGGAGAGCTAAGAGATCCCCGGGAAGGCCTTAGGATATAGTACAGATGGGGTCTCTGTAGGTTTCATGACAAGAAGGAGACTCCATGAATACATACATTAGTGATGACTTGATGACTAATGAGAAGTAATAGAAAAAGAAAACCTTTGAGAACCTAACATTTCTCCAGAGAGCAGGAAGTTAAAAGAACTCAACAGAGGGTTATGAGAGGAAGGGAAAGAAGGGGGCAAGGTGGAATGAAAAGCAGGAAGAATGAATCCAAGGAAGAAAAAAATAACAGTCTTGAACACCATGGACAAATCCAGCAAGACAAACAGAGCTTGCCATGAGGGGTTTATTGGAGATAGAGGCCATGGGGGTTGGTTATTGGAGATGGAGGCCATGGGGGGTGGTTATTGGAGATGGAGGCCATGAGGGGTGGTTATTGGAGATGGAGGCCATGAGGGAACTTGAAGATGGAGGTGATAAGACATGGCAGTTCTTTCTAGCAGCCTGGCACAAAGAAAAGAAATTATGGGAGACCATCATCTCCAAAATAGCTAGAATAGCTGTGGTTAAAAAAATGGTTGTATTGGGTTTTTGAGAAAGAGCTTAAAGTTGGGTTGGTGGGGAGGATCTGGAAGGACTTGGGGGAGGGGAAGAATATGATCAAATATACTTAAGTAAGCCCAAATATACTCAGTAAGCCCAAACTGAAATCACAGTTTCCACCTTGTACATGGATAAGTTAGGGTCCTAAACCTTTCTGGAAAGTGCAGTGCTCATGTGCATCTCACTTCAAAGTCTAAAGATAGAATCAGCAGCACATAGATTTAGGTTTTCCACCCAAACAGCTCCACTCCGAATGTAAAACTGTTAAGATAGCTTATTTAGAACCTAGGCATTTAGCCAGAAAAGCACCCCTAGACAGAGAAAGGGTGGAACAGTCCAATAAACAATCACTTCAACTCCCAACTATGAAAAACCTCTATGGTAGCTACATGTATTCACTTGTCCAAAATTACCAGAATAACACTTAAGAAGGGGTTCAAAGTTCAATCAAGTTATTTGGATAGCTTGTTTAACCTGAATAGTTGGTCCTATGACTAAAAATGACATCAAAAGAGGAAAAAAATCTTCCAAGAACTCATGAAGAAAGAGTAAAGTCAGTGGCCTTTAAACTCCAATAAGCAGTCTTAAAACACAAATGTACCATATTAAAACTATCAAGTGTGGAGAGAGGTATTAACTTTGTCCCAGGCTAGATGTCAGGAGTGGCTCCTAAGGAAGATTTGAGCACCACTGGCTTACAATGTGATACCACGAAGAATGTGCCAGGGAATAGAGAAGTAGGGTAGGGAAGGTATGCATCAAACCTGCTGCCAAAATAAGCCAGGAGCACTGGACCCCTTTGAAAGCACTATAAGCCAGAGAAAAAGCATCTCAGATACCTAAGGTGTGAGGCAACACGGGTATCGGTCTACCCATTCCTCCTCTGCCATAGGTTTAAGGTTATTGCCACAAACATTAATGTTCATGTTTATCTTTTAGTTCTTATTTTTAAGTGTGTGTGTGTGTGTGTGTGTGTGTGTGTGTGTGTGTGTACTTGAGTGCAAGTGCTCACGGAAGCCAGAGTTGGGATTCTAGACTGTTGTAAGCCACCATTTGTGGGAGCAGAGAATTGAACTCAGGGTCCTTGGCAGGAGCACCACTTTTCTTCTATTATAGCTGAGCCATCTTTTTAACACGCTCTCCAGCTTCTTTAATCTATGATATGAAGCTCCAAAGTAAGTGCTGGTGCAGCCAGATGAAGGTTCTAGAAGCTGTACAGTGCTGGTAAGCAATAAAGAATCTGAACAACAGACATGGGCAGAGTACTATGGTATCGGCCAATCCGAGTTGTGTCTAAAGAAACAGTCAGGCTGTGGTTGTCAGAGTGGCCATTCTACTGCCTGTTCTCATAATGTGGGTCAGAGAAGGGTGCTCTGTGGACTTGCAGTCCTAAGGTTCAGGCAGACCCTGAAGACTTGCAAAGAAGCAAAAGTATTCCTTCCAATGACTCCCAAAGCTCTTTTGCCAAGTTTCCATGGTTCTGTGACTCTAAGAGAAAAGCTGATACCAATTAAGAGATGTAAAAGCAAAGCCAGCTATTGTAGCAGAAAATGAGAGGATTTTTTAACATAATGATTCAATATCTTCAGGAATTAGACACTATTAAGACAGCACCTCAGCCTTCCAAAATCTACAAACTTTTATCTCAACAAAAACAGACTTGACCACCGACCACTGATACAACAATGATGTTCGGAGTCTGAGAAAATATTAATAATAAAAATAGTAACCACCTCCAGTGAGAACAAAGTTTGATGGTGCTGTAGTCCAGTTTGATTTCCTCAAAAATCTCCTGGTAAGAAGAGACGGCTTCAGGGCCTATGTATCTCTGAAGTAAATAAGTTGGCATGGAAGTGACTTGCCTATGACCACAGGCAATCTATGGCCATATCAAATACTTCCCAGAGCCTTTGTCATTGTGCTTATTGAGTGTCTATTATGTGGAAACAACTTTCCATTCTTCAGTATGTTTCATCTTTATAATAAACCTATGCGGAAATACTAGCTCTATTTTTTGCAAATAAGTAAATGAAATGGACACATAACCTGGTTAAGCAACTTGCTGTGCATTGCACAGTGAGCAAGTAGCAGAGGAGAGACTTGAACCTAGGACTAACAGTTTCAAAGGCCAGCCTCCTGGCAGATCCCTGGATGGAAGAAGCTCTCCCTGGTTTCAATGCACAGCTAATAGTAAGATTGGGAAAGCAGGCTGAATTTTTTATAATAGATGTGGGTGAAGACGATCTCATTAGACATATTCAACAGTCCCCAGGAACTATTATGAAGCTGAGCAGCACACCTGGAAAGCACTGCAAACCAAAGACTCAAACACTTGTAGAATCTCATTCTATTCATGGCCCTCTACTCAAGAACCTGGCTATCCATGACATGGGCTGTTGCATTCTTGCATTTAGAGAGAAAATACAAAGTGTGGGCAGTGGGGAAGCTTGGAGGCAAGAGAAGGTGAAGCAGATATGCAAAGGGTGCCCACATTTGCTCTTTTCATTTCTCTCTCCTAACTCACCTCCCTGGCTCCTTGGACTTCTCTGCTACAGCCAAGAGGCTGCTCTACAAAGCTACACTCGAGCAATGTCAACAAAAACACTTGGCCCCAATCCAGTGCATTCTTGGCCTCTCATCTGCCAGGCCCTGGAAGTTGCATGTTGGCCTAATTAGTCAGGGGAAGGGGAGGAGGCAGGGGGTGTGCAGGGGAAGCAGCGGGCTCCCATGTCACATGTTACCAGCAGAGGAAGCTTGGAAGGCTGTGGTCTCTGAGAAGAAGTGCAAGAGGGGGCCATAGAGATGCTGGGGGTTCCTGCTGGAGGAGGGGAAACTCAACTCTCAATCTGAGATCCGAGCTGCATGCACTGAGGAAGAAAAGAAAGTGGAGGCTGGGTGCCAAGTTTCCATTACAGAGCTGTGTGCTCACCCTTTTGCACTCTAGAGCTCTCTCCTCCCCCTTCCCCTCATTCTCCATTTCTCTCCCATTCTCCTTCCCATGACCAAAGCACACAGATCCCAAGGATTTCAGATGCCAATTATGCATCTTCTTGGGAGCTCCATGACCCAGATTCTCAGCTCACAGCCTTGACTCCGAATACGCTCTGTCTTGTTCTGCTAGCCTGACTCACAGGCCTTCTAACCCTTCTCAGATACTGGTTGTAGCCTCAGAAGAGAAGCTGGGGGTGGGGGGAGCTGTTTGTTCTCTGCCACGGGATTAACTCCTCAGAGACCTGGACAGGTTGAAGATGGCATCATCAGTGACAGTAGAACAGTAGGAGAGGGAGGGGTAAGTAAGTCAGAGTGGCCAGGGAAATAAACGTGATCAAAATACACACACGTGTGCACATGCATGCACATACACACACACACATGCCTGTATGAAAATGTCACAATATGACGTTTTGTCCAATTAATACATGCTAATAAAAATGGAAAATAGAAGATGTAAAATGTAT